GTCATAATTTCCTCGGATCGGGATTTAACCGGTGACTTGGGACACCATTAATCTCCCAAGTGGCGACTCTGAATATTAATAATAAATCCCATTCCGACTGTCCTTTAATTGGAAAAACTCCTTTGCGCCCTCGCGGGTGTAGCGAAAAAGGAGGTGTGACAGAATGGACCTTAAAGATATACAAGAACAACTCTCAAGTAAGTACTCAGACAATCTGTTGAAAAGGGAGAAGGAGACTCTACTTAACTTAGAGAACTGGTCAATGATTGAAGAGAGTATCCAATAGCAGAAGGCAAGAGCTAAATGGATCCAACTGGGAGATGCTAATACCAAATATTTTACAGCCGTTATGAAAGATAGATCACAAAGGAAACATATCAATGAAATCACTACAAGGTGTGGGATAGAGTCACTGATCTTGAAGGTATTAAAAGAGAGATATTGGATTTCTATAAGTCTCTTATGGAATCAACAGCAAGATCACTTTCAGCCATAAACAGATTGTACATGTCAAATGGTCCCAGACTAACTCAACAATAAAGAAGAGATCTCTGTGCAGATGTTACTGATCAGGAAATTTTAGAGAGCCTCAAAGCTATAGGAGATGATAAAGCACCTGGTATTGATGGCTACAATGTTGTCTTCTTCAAGAAATCATGGAGCATTATCAATAAACAAGTTACAGATGCTATTAGGGAATTTTTCCTAACTTCTAAGATGAACAAGCCAATCAATTATTCCACTATCACTCTAGTACCTAAAGTTGCTAAACCTGCTACAATCAAAGAATATAGGCCAAATGCATGTTGTACAATGTTATATAAAGTGATCTCAAAGGTCCTAGCTGCTAGACTTCAAAAGATCATGGCATATATAATCTCTGAATCCCAAGCTGGTTTTGTTCCTGGTAGGAAAATTGCAGATAATGTGATATTGGCTTATGAACCAGTAAAGTCCTACACTAGAGCCCAAATATCTCCCAGATGCATGATTAAGATAGACCTCCAAAAGGCATATAATTCAGTAGAATGGATATTTTTACAACAAGTAATGGAGGAGATTGGTTTTCCTGAATAAAGTGGGTCATGGAATGTATCAAATCAGTCAGTTACACTGTGCTTATTAATGGAGAAACTACTAAACCTTTTGAAGCTGCTAAGGGTCTTAGACAAGGAGATCCTATCTCACCTTTCCTATTTGCTATTGTCATGGAGTGCTTGAGAAGATCATTCATTGAAATTGGAAAGGACAAGTTGTTTCAATATCATCCTAGGTGCAAAAAATTGGGCATAACTCACCTGAGTTTTGCTGATGATCTTCTTCGTTTTTCCAGAGGTGATCTTACTTCTATATCTACCCTGTACCAATACTTTTCTCAGTTTTCAAAGGCATCTGGATTGCAAGCTAATATGGGTAAAAGCTCAGTGTATTTTGGGGGAGTGAAACAGGAAGTTAAGCAGCAGATATTGAACTATCTTGGATTTGTACAAGGGGAGTTACCTTTTAAATACTTAGGCATTCCTTTATCTTCCAAGAAAATCGCATTGATCCAATGGCAGCCCTTAATTGATAGAATCACAGGAAAGATTTCATCTTGGACTGCAAAGAAGCTCTCTTATGCTGGTCGAATATAGTTAGTCAAATCTTTCATTTTTGGTATTCAAGCCTATTGGGCTCAGCTGTTTATTCTGCCTATGAAAGTGTTAAAGATGGTAGATGCTATATGTAGAAGCTACATATGATCGGGTAGTAATATTATTACTAGAAAGAGCTATGTAGCATGGGACAAAATGTGTACCCCAAAATCAAGTGGAGGTATGAATATCATTAATCTGATGCTCTGGAACAAGGCTGCAATTGCTAAAGTCTGCTGGGATTTAGCTCATAAAGAAGACAAACTGTGGATCAGATGGATCAATGCCTACTACATCAAGCAGCAACAGATTTCAGACCATGCCTATTCCAAAGCAAGCTAGTTGGATGGTTCGAAGAATAATAGCTTCCAGAGATGTTCTACAACAAATTCAGTGCACAAGGGATGACAAAGAGACTACCAGACATATGTATCTACAACTCTGGGAGACTTACCAAGAGTGAATTGGAAGAGCTTGGTATTTCATAATTCTGCTCGACCAAAGGCTATTTTCAGTCTATGGTTAATGTTGCATGGGAGATTACCTACCAAGGATAGAGTAGCAAGCTGGGGGCTGAACATTGATCAGAGTTGTGTATTATGCAAGGAACAATTAGAAACAAGAGATCATATGTTTTTACATTGTTCTTATGCAACAGAATTATGGAGTAGAATATGAAAATGGATTCAAGAAGATCAAGGAAACAACAGCAATTGGCAACATCATCTTCAGTGGATCATCAAGAAAGCAAAAGGGAAATCTAACCATGCCAGCATTTTCAGATTGGTATTCACAGAAGCATCCTATGCGTTATGGCTGGAAAAGAATAATCGTATCTTTGAAAAATGATATTGTAATTGTGAAAGTTTAGTAAGAGAGATAGCCTATATTTGTAATGTTAGAGTTGAGCCTAAAGCTAGAATCCAATTACAGAAATACTTATTAGTATAGTGAGTAGTAGCTTGTATAGTCCTCTCAAGTAGATTAATGTTGCAGTGATGTAGTTGAGATAGTCAGCAGAGTGTGATGCTTGACTATAGTTTTGTAATGGTTTACTTTGGTGATTAATACAAAGAAAGTTAATTACCAAAAGAAAAAAGCAAGGTGCTTATGCCCCTACATACAATAGCTTATGAACCGGGTTCATTTTACGTTTGTACACCTTCCGGTCTCAATCACACAATTCTCACCAAGTTATATAATAGTAACATACTCAAACAGTTGATTTATTTGGATCATTTTGTACAATTTTAACTTGTTCGTATACTCTTCAGGATGAAATGTTATCCAGTAGCCAAGACAACTAAGTGAAAAATTGGCATTTTCTTCCTTCCCTGTTTTGTTTTTAGACAGAAACATGAGGGGAAATCAATTTTTTAACCTATTCAAAACTTTATTGTTCGTTTACTGTATTGGAAAAAAGTTGAATTTATATTGAAGATGACATGGCGTGACACGTGGACTGGACAAATAGTCAAAGTATAACAATTAAGAAAAAGGTACGGGAGATGACAGGTACGAGAAGAGGAAGTGAAACAGGCACGAGAAGCAGTTTAGATACGAGTCTCGTATCAATTCGAGTCATTTAAAGCCAGTGGATCAAAAGGCATTGAAAACATGGATCTGAAGACAAAAAGGAGTCCAAATTCAGTATTAAATACCTGATACGTTAGAAAATTGGTATTTAATAGGAATGATTGTGTAACGGCTCATTTAATATCATTTATTGTCCATAATTGTCTCATTAAAGCTTAGGTTTCATTCCTTTATCTAGAATCAACTATAAAAGGAGGAAGTTGTATTGGGAAAAGATCATTGTCAACATCATACTGAAATAAAAACTTGTTCGCTGCTTTATTATTATTCTCAGAAACCCTATTATTCTTTTTTGGTCTCTTGATTATCAGTAACCCGATTTTTCATCTCAAATTCTAGTTTTAACCGAAATTATATTTTTTGGTTAAACAAATTGGTCCGTTGCCGGGACTCTGATAATCTATTCTTTTTAAGTTACATTCTATCTGTTGTTATCATCATGTCACACGACAATAATAACAATGAAAACGCCTTGGGAAACCGTGAAAATCAAATGCATCAAGATCAAGGAGATTTGCAGAACTTTAACGTGGTCCCT